ATCCTTTTGGGACTCTTTGGAAGACAATTTGTGTTTTTTTACTTAATAAATGTTATTTTATTTTGATTTAGGTATATATTATTTCATTCCCTGTCACGGATCCCCTTAAATCTGGATCAAAATTGTGTTCTGAGTGTTACAATTTCGATGTCCTTACACATTGTAGTCTCGGTTCATTATTAATGGAAATAGGAATTTGTTTGCACCCTGTTGAGTAAACAGCACATTTTCTATTAGCATTAATAACCGAGAGAACATGTATAGACACCTAAATTTGGGTAAAAATTTAAAATTCCCGCTTCTAACTAGCCGATAATCTAGATACCTGTTTTTACCGTCAAAGCTTCCCCGTACTGACGGTCAGCCGGTTGTAGCGGAACGCGGTTCCAAGTTTTAACATTATACCGCCACCCATAGAGTAAGTAAAATAATATTTTACTTTCTCTATGCCGCCACCTCTCTTATTTTACTTACTCTATGGTGAGTAGTCTGACTAGCGCATATATCGCAATCGGCTCCTTGCTTAACCTCCCAATAGTATGCATAGATAAAGACGAGTAGATAGACTATAGTATGTAGTCTGTGCTCCCAAGTTCTGTTCGTATCTATCGGGGTGATAAATTAGGTACATTTCCCAATTACTAGAAATTAGAGTAGGTATTGGTGTTTGTATCACGTACACCTTTACTTTGTTCACCATTAAAAGCCTGCTGTTTGATCTTACAGGTTTAATCAAGCATGACATAGCTTACCAACGACTGCAAACTATGTTTCTAGACGTTACGAGTTTAATATATTTAATTATCTCTATTTGAGTTTTGTTTTCATTTCCAAACCATATAGTTTTGACAATGATCAATAATTTACTATAAAAAAGCGAACAATTATGTTTAGTCATAACTCGAATACACCAACATTATCAAACTCACAAAGTGCAAATATGTTTATATGCACTTTGTATACTTTTATAGAATCAATTATTTATATTCTACAAGCATTTAAACAAATAGTCATATATTTACAAGCAAATGAAAATAATTATTTACCCTCCTGCAAATGAATATAAAATTACGTGTCTGTGTTCTGGTGACTCGCAACAATAGAGTAAGTAAAATAATTATTTTACTTTCTCTATGCTCGCCACATCAACTTTTGCGCGGTGTTACAATTAAAAGGCGGATTTGTACTGAGTTTATACCGACTAACGATATTTTTTCTAATTTCATAGACAGCAAAAGACTGAACTTCTACTACATGATCCCCCCCTGATGGTAGGGTAATTTAATAAATTTTACAACTGGGTATGGGAGTCGTGACTGATCAAAAAATATCTTACGTAATTTATGGACGGCCCTTAATATGAATAGGGAGCTGTGGTAAAATATCATTATTTCAATTTCTTCAAACTTACTTAAGGAAATCAAACTTACTCATGGACAAGGATTTGTAAATAGAAACGAATCATTACAGTATATGGCTTTTATTTGTCTGTTTGTTTTCAATTTTATAATGTTTTTATACATTTTTTTTATTGTTGTTTGCCTAGAGGCAGGAGGATAAAAATCTTCTCGAAGACACCCAGCATCCCGAGACACTGGATAGTGTTGGATTCTTACCAACTAAAAAA